TCCCGGAGCCCGGCGGAGCCCGGCGGGGCCACTCTCGCGCTGACAACGGCGAAGGACGAGAGGGGGCCTTCGGGCGTGGCGCCCAGAGAGCTGTGCTCGAGAACAGGGCGTGAGGAAGGCGGAGCGCAGGACGCCGAGTCTGCCGCTGATTCCTGCAATGGACAGGGCGAGGGCCTGGCGCGGCGGGCGTTTGAATCAGGCCGTTCCGGGCGGTAGAGGTGGCTCCGGAGGAGCAAGGACTGGGGCGTGGCCGGCAGAGTCTCCGGGGACCGGCTGTGTCTTCCTGGTCTCGAACCACTGCCCACCCACGTCCAACCGCGGGGCGGGGAGGACAGGCCCTGCAAGCCTGCACGCGGAGGGCCGTGCCTCGGGGTCAGCGACACGAGGAACGAGGCTTGAAGAAGGCAACAAGTGAGCCGATCCGTGTCCGGAGAAGAGCTGTTCGATCAAAGGGACCGGCACGCCGAGGTCACCGGCAGGGGTCCTGCTGGCCTGCCGCGCTGGGGAGCGGCGAGCAGGCCCTGGGCGTCGGGGCCGGCTGGGGCCGAGGGCGAGCGCGGAGCCCGGTCCCGATGGGGACAAAGCGGATGCAGAGCCTTTGGGCCGCGCAAGGACCTGGGCGTGTGGAGTGGAGGCCGGGAGGCTGGGAGGGCGGTGGGAGGCCAGGGGGGCTCAGGAACGCAGCGTCCCCGAAGGCCCTGAGCAAGAGGACGCCGGAGGGCAGGCGAGGTGAGCTCTCCTCTGGGTTAGATGCAGCGATCGGGCGACGTCGACAAGAGCAGCTTCGAGGAGCGTGGGGTTGGAAGGCTGGCCTGAGTGGCCTCGGAGGGAATGCGGGCGGGCGTGGGAGCAGACCGCAGGGGCAGCGCCAGAGCGCGCGGGAGGGTCGAGAGAGGGTTAGGCTTTCTTGGGGGGGGGAGTTTCCCCAGACAAAATTGGGGACCAGCCAGGTGGCCCGGGATTAAGACAGCTGGGTCCCACGTGGCCCACGGTGCAGTTCAAGTCCCAGATCTGGGGGCTTTAGAAACCCGCTGGGCGCATGTGCCTGGTCCAAAAATCCCAAGAGGAAAATGGAGCAGGGATTGGGTGTGTCCGTTACTCCTAGGAGGGAGGGTTCTCACTTTCCCTCTCTCGCTCTCACTGTCTCTGAACGCATGTCTCTGAGCACGTGTCTGTGAGCGCATGTGTCCCATAGTACAAAATAAATACATAAATAAACACTACAAAGTTACAGCAAATTAAAATCTTTATGAACTATATTCGTGATTCTAGAATCAGGCATCATCCATCCATAAAATAGACTCCTGTTCCAAGGAATTAAGCTGGAAAAGTCGGTCTCACCGCCGGAAGGGCGGGGGAAACACGGGAGGAGCCGCGCAGGGCCGTCTCGGAGCGGCTTCCCGCGAGGAGAAGGGCGGGAAGACGGCACTGACTCGAGACTACTCTCATTTTTCAGGAAAAGCCGGTTTGCTTTGGGATCTAGTAATATCTGCTTCTTTCAAGTTTCGGTTTGATGAGGTGCCATGTTAGCACGCTGACTTCATCTGGGTCCGACCTGTGGGGACCTCCCGCAGCAGTTGGGTCCATCGGGGCGTCCGCCTCGGGCTGGGCAATGATGCTGAGCCGAGACACTGATCGCAAACGGGCTACTCTAATCTCGAGACACAGAACAAAAAGGGGAGCGGACAGTCGAGGGAAAGGTAGCTGCAGAAGTGGATAAAAGGCCGTGCTTGTGGGTAAGGGGACAGGCCCAGGTTCCAGGCCCTAAATTTAGCTCAACTCCGCGACGGGCAAGCCCAGCCCGGGAACCTGACACCGTGGCCCGGGCGCCTGGCTTCCCTCTTCCCTGCGGTGCAGGGTCGGCCTAGGCCGGCCACCAGGAGAGGCGCCCAGTTGGGCTCGATCGCCACCTGTCCTGGCCCGTTCCCGGAGGCTGACTGTGTCAGCCTGGGGCAGCCAGGGGAGGGCACGGGGGGGGGGGGGCGTGGGGG